CCCCCCCCCCCCCCCCCCCCCCCCGTGACCCATCTGACTAGGATAAGTGGTTAGATGATGGATGGATATTTTTCCATGTTTGTATCATGTGCTACTATGTATGATGAACACGTGTGTCTATATTTTACTGCATGACTTTAGAAGCATTTTTATTCATGCTTTGGCCAAACACCAGAAAGATGATGTCTAAGTGCCTGACATTTCTGACCTTAACACTAAAGGACATTGCCTTTCTCCCTCTTGTTTACCATGTTTTCCTCTGATCCTGAAGCGTTTTCTTAGCCCTACAGAAGAAATGTACGCAGGCATGATCTCTGACCTGGGGTGTCATCCGGCGGGTTACATTGAAGGTGTGTGTCTCCGTGACTCTTTCAGAGTGTAAGACCTGCTATCACAGAGACTGCTTCTCCGATGGGACGGAATGCCCAAAGTGTCGGAGACTTTCGGAGAGGAGAGAGCGTCTGGCTCGGAAGAACATGGAGGAGCAGGAGGAAGAGGGAGGAGGGGAATAACCGATAGGAGAAAAACAGCCGCATCGTCTAAAAAACTCACATTTCCCCATTTATCAGCAGTATTTTTGTTCATGTAAGTTTACATAGATGACGCTTGGAGCAAAATATTTAATATTGTCAGCTTCCATTTTCTTTCATAAAATCACATGGTCTTCTTTAAGCATTTGGTCATGTGTATCTTTATAGGCCTTAAGATATCGTTTGTGTCTCCAGCTTAATGTAGTTTAAAATAATGTGAATTAGTGCCACGCTCATTGATGCGTGGTGGTATGAACGTTCATTCCAGGAGTATTTAAGACAGTATGATGTCATGGTTCTTCTCAGGCAGCACTGAGAAGCTAATTGCTGCTCAGATTCTTCTAAGAAGAGTGGGAAGAGAAGCGGGGCCCTATGAACTATGGCGTCCCGTATCTCTTTTCTTTGCTTGGTTTTACCAGTCTCTTTATCTTCTGCCTTTCCGGGCTTGGCAGGAGTTTGCACATGTACAGAATGCACCATTAGTTGAAGTAAAAGCCTTGAAGATTTAATTGTGTATATCTTAAGACAGATTTGAGTAAGTCTAATCAGAGAAGTGTTGGCAGTGCTGCTTATGTCATCATAATTGCCCATTTGAATGTAACCATGCATTAATGTTAAAAGAATGATGTTCCATTTGTAATATTCTATTTTTGATATTCTTTATAAATAATCCTTAAAATATATATCATTGACATTAAAAGATCAATCTTACTATTTTGAGGATGTTACTGTCCTGTTAATTTATCACCCAAATTATATTTTTTTTTTATTAATTTGTACCTTAGCATTTGAGGGGTTCAAATGCTATTTCAGCTTTGCAGTAATATGTTGCTAACAGCCATTCTGGAACATCTTGCTGGAAAGGAAATGAGTTCATTAAATGTAGGATCCACTAGAGCAGTGTTTCCCCAATCTGGTTCTCAGTCATCTGCAGGTAGTCCATGTTTATTGGGAGCTGAGAGGGAGGAAAAATGTGGACTATCTGGAAAAGAGCTGAGATGGACCAAAGATGTGGACTGTATGGAAAAGAGCTGAGATGGAGCAAAAATGTGGACTGTCTGGAAAAGAGCTGAGATGGAGCAAAAATGTGGACTGTCTGGAAAAGAGCTGAGATGGACCAAAGATGTGGACTGTCTGGCAGAGAGCTGAGATGGACCAAAAATGTGGACTGTCTGGAAAAGAGCTGAGATGGACCAAAAATGTGGACTGTCTGGCAATTATTCAATTTACGGTCCTCGAAATCTGAGCAATGCTGGTTTTGCAGCCTTCCTTTACCTGTGAGCCAGGTGTGAAGCCTCTGACCAATCAGAATCAGTAATTATTAAACTAACTACCTGGGAGAACTGAAAAGAAAGCCCTGGATTTGGAATCGAGGTCCAAATTTGAAGAGCCCTGCTATAGACCAATCACTTGCGTAACTGGAAAAGTAATGGAAGCTATAATCCAAGTGAAAATGGTAGATTACCTGGACTCAAATAACATTCTGAGGGATAGCCAACATGGATTCAGGAGAGGTAGATCCTGTTTAAACAGTGTAACCACAATAATAACCACAATAAAAGGAGGACAGCTCAGGCATCACAAATCTCTGAGTAATTGTGTTTGAATTACTGTCACTAGCACAGCCTAAAGTGGAAAATTGGTTTCTGTTGGATTAATAGATCTCTCAACCTTTCCACTGCCAAACCCCACAGGTTACAGATGTGATCTGAGAAACAGGGGGTTGGGTCTTGACTCTTACCACCAGGTCTTCAAAATAGACCATTTTAAAATAAAATAGGCTATAGGCTGTTTGTAAATGTATAGGCTTATTACTTTTACTAGTACAGTATACTTCTTCTAGAATAATTCCTGGGAGTTATCAAAACCAAATTCTTTTGGATAGGGATAAGTATAATGAGATCTTCTGTATTGATTCTCATTGTGTCGCATGTCCAGACCATGACCGTGTGTTGCATACATGTTTTTAAACACCCCTAGCGCATCTTGCACTCAACATTGATCCTGGTGGCGACTATTCGTATTGACGCGGTAGCGGACCATAATGGTCATAGAAGTGTTATGAAGGCAGTACCCCCCAATTATGGAGGGGTAAAGTAGTACAATTAAGGTTGATGTGGATAACACAACCCAATGATACTGTGTTTCTGCAAATGTAATGGATACAGGGGTGAGTTCAGAAACAATGTCAAGTATTTTCAGGCCTGGTAACTAATGTGCTTCCTACTAGCGGAAGCTAAAACCCTGGGTACAACTCTGAGCTGTTAAGTTCTCCCCAAACGAGCTTGATGGGCCGAATGGCCTCCTCTCGTTTGTAAACTTCTTATGTTCTTAAGTGTTTTAAATGGTTTACATGGTTTTCAGAAACTGGCCCATATTGATACAGCTCTGCACTTTCTGTGACAAAGCCTGAACTGTGCTCATTCATCTTTTGCTAGATTGTAGATTGTAAATCTTGGGGGCAAGTCAAGATGTATAACTTTAGAGATCTTTAGAATAATTTTAATGCAATATTGCCAACGCAAAATTTTATATTTAAACCTTGTTTGGTGCATCTTCAGATGTTATGCAGATTATAATGAGTTTAAGAGTTGCTAAGACAAATGGGTCTTTTGATTTTTGCACACCAATAAATTTTAATTTCTATTTGTTGGATAGATTGTTGGATAGTGCAGTTTAATAATGTTACTTGTTACTACTTCATCTTATGCCATTGAAATGATACATGGACACTATATAGACAACACTACTGGGACCTTGGTGTGAATATCAAGACATTTTGGGCAATTCAAAGAACTTTGTGGGAACAGTTTGGGGAAGGCCTTCACATCTAAACATCAGGGCCTGAGCTCACAAATGCTCTTCTGGGTGAATGAGCAAAAATTCCCACAGACACACTCCATAATCTTGTGGAAAGCCTTTTCAGAAGAATGGCAGCTGTTACAGCTGCAAAGGGAGGACCAACTCCATATTGATGCCTATGGATTTAGAATGGGATGTCATAATTCCTTTGGGTGAAATGGCCAGGTGTCCCAATACCTTTGTCTATATGCTCTATATACTGAGACGTTTGAAAGTCTGTGAGTCTCTTGTGATATTATACAACTAACTTTTTCGTCTAGCATTGTTATATAATCTGATTTTTGTTACTAAAATAAAGTCTATATTTACAGATTTCATATGTTTGAGACAGAAATATTCTAATAAAAATGTTATCTTGTTCTAGATAAGTAGAATGAATTAGGTCAATAATTGGTCAACAGTTTAACAGCTAGGGTGGCACTCTCATAAATATATATAAAAAATCTGGTCAAGATTCTGATATATAAATTAGTAGGACTTGGGCAACTTGACATAATGCAATAAAGAATTCTGAGAGATGCAAGAAAATTCTTGGAGAGAAGCTCAGCCCAATTAAAAATTTTCAAGCAAACTCATTTAAGAGTGACTAAATGTTTTTGTCCTGACTAAAATCCAATCAGATTTCAAGTTCAGTATTTATATGCAGATACCAATGGGACACAATTACCTGTAATGAATTTACAGGTTTGCACACTAAAATGACACTTATCAAGACACTGCTTCAAGATCTGAAGACAGCTGTTCGTGTCAGACAACCACCAAACAAAAAAGAAACATTGAACAGTATGTGTCTGGAACAGTACATGGAAATAAATGTACTAGAAGGAAATAAAATTTGAAGAAAGTGTCAGCTAGACACAAAAGATGGCATGACTGCCATTGGTGGAATATTTCTGCTTTTATTAGATGAGTTACTTTTTCATTAGATGACTTACATGAGTAAATGGAGGTACAATAGGCTAGTCGAGACTTTTCATTATACTTAGCAGTGGCTGTACATGCAAAGCTACAGGGTTTATTTTCCATGCATATGGTTCTTTATTCTACCATCATTGGCCAGCTATAGTCATTATAGCCACACTTGAAGCTACGAAAGCTATCTGTAGAAAACCCAGAATGTAGGAAGTGCGTGAATGCTAACGTATGTACTTTAAGCTACTTTTAGATCAGTGGTTCCCAACCTTTTTTAACTCACGGCCCACACAGCCAAACACATATGTTTCCGCGGCCCACTGCAAAAGAATTTAAACGATCCCGCTTTTTGTGTCGGGTTAACTAAGTACTCGGAAGCAAGGCTGTTAATTGTCTTTATTGAATA